GTAATATGCATTAATAAACAGTACTTTACGCATAAAAAGTAGTTTTTAAGAGTTTTTGTCAAATGCTTTATAATATAGTATAGATTATTTTTTTTATAATTTAATTTAAGTTTAATAATGAAATAATTTATTTTTGGTTTAATATTATAAATTTTATAAAAATAATAATTAAGTATTTTCTCAGAACTCAATGATTATCCTAATTATATTTTAGATTTTTTATATTTAAAATGAGATGTTTATCTTGTATTTGATTGTGTTTATCTGCAGTTAGTTACACGAATTCAGATATGGAGCTTTAATAAGTTGTAGTTGCGCACAATTTACTTGTAATCTTGAGTTTTAAGTAATATGCATTAATAAACAATACTTTACGCATAAAAAGTGTTTTTTAAGAATTTTTGTCCAATGATTTATAATATAGAATATATTTTTTATATATAATTTAATTTAAGTTTAATAATAAAAAAATTATTTTTTGTTTAATATTATAAATTTTATAAAGATAATAATTAAGTATTCTGTTAGAATTTAATGATTATACTAATTATGTTTTAGATTTTATATATTTAAAATGAGATGTTTATCCTGTATTTGATTGTGTTTATCTGTAGTTAGTTACACGAATTCAGATATGTGATGAAATCGGATAGGGATGAAATCGTTTAGGGATGAACGAGTTTAAGAGTTTTTAAGAGTTTTAAGAAAATGCTTTATAAAATAGTATAGATAATTCAATTTAATGTAACGAAGTAATTTAATTTAGGTTTAATAATATATATTTTTTAATAAAAATAATAATTAAATATTTTGTTAAAATTTAATAATTATCCTAATTATATTTTAGATTTTTTATTTAAAATGAGATGCTTATCCTGTATTTGATTATGTTTATCCGCAATTAGTTACACAAATTCAAACATGAAGCTTTAATAAGTTGTCATTATGCACAATTTATTTGTTATCTTGAATTTTAAGTAATATACATCAATAAACAGTACTTCGTGCATAAAAAATGGTTTTTAAGAGTTTTTGTCAAATTCTTTATATAAAGGTGTTTGGGATTGCTTATTTAAAACAACTTATGTTTTTCTACAAAAACACTTATCCACTTATTATAAGTTAGAAGAATTTAATTTTTCAAAAAACTTCTTATTACCGGTTTAACACCGATATAAATTGTTTATTCAAACATTTAAAAATGTTTCTTATCGATGTAACACCGGAATAAGTCAGAAGCTGTTTTTATAAGCAATCAAACACCCCTAAAAGTGAAAACCGACATTAACCCCAAATCAGACATAAGAAAAATTCTAGGGTTTGTGGAACAGGGATTGTGTTTTCTCTTTCTGCGAGTACAAACAATTCTACACAATATGTACGCCAAAACCATACGAGACAGTCACACAGAGTTCATCAGAATCCCCAGCCAAGACTTGTATTTCGTCACTTCTCTGGTTCCATCTCTCTCTGCTGTGTGACTTTCTCTTCCTTGTTTTAATTTGCATGCCCATGGCAGTTGTTTTCGATCAATTTTGAAAATTAGGGCACGGAACAATCAATTTCGATCGACGGTTACACAAGCCTCGGAGAAGATGTAACTGACAGAATTTCTTGACGGATAGTAATTTTTCTGGGGTCAAGAGTTTCTCCGGTTTAATAAAATCTTTTAGGGTTTGGTTTTTCTATAAGCACGAATGAAGGGGTCGTTGGATCGAAAGAAGGTTGTGCTTCGGCACTTGGCGCACAATATTTCTCAATCGGCGCTCATGGAGCAAATTGACGCCCGTTTTTGTGGTCGTTACAACTGGTTCTGTTTTCGTTCCGGCAAAAATAGGTTAGGGTTTAAAGTGCATTTTGTTTCATCTTCAGTTTAGTGCTACTTTTTGAAATTAAAATTTTAATTGATGAATGAATGCAGCATAATGGCTTACCTTCTAAAATTACACCCGTGCCTTCCATGCGCAGGAGTGATTTGGGGTATCGCTGTTTTATTGATTTTGGAGGAATAAGTAAATTGCAGGCCTTTAGAGTCTGGTATCCGCTGTGTATTTGACTGTGTGTCTGTGTGTTGAACTATGGAGGTTAAAAGTGATCTAAGGGTCCAAATCCCTTCTTACACTTCTCACAATTAACTCCTATTCTTCACACGATCCTTCGTCTACGAAGTTTGGAGGTTTCAGGGTATTGGTTTTAGATACTAGATTGAAGTAAGACAAGTTTTTGTAGCTGTCAGAATGAATGCCTAGTGGTTCCATAGAAACCGAGGTAGAGGCGTGATAGTCAGAGAGGATGGAAGATGGGAGTATTAAACATGGCGTATTTGACAAACATTAGGCAAGGTGGCTTGTTAGTTTGGGAAGAGAACACCTGCCATTCAGTTGGTTCTTTTTGTTTTTTGTTCTCATTTCTGTTTATAATTTGCTATTAGTTGGACATCTGGCTGGCATGTGAATGGTGACGAAAGATTATTAAAGCTAGGTTAAATTACTGACTTAGTGTGTCTGAACTTGACTGGGCTTGCTTTCATGTAATTAAGATGTTTTTGCATGCTGAGGCATAGACATAGTACAAAAGGATTCTGAATACAGAATCATTGATTTTGTGGTTGTTAACCATTTCCTTAACTGGCTTGTTTAGCTCTGGAATGTGAAGTAATAAATTATGTGTAGCATAGCTTCAAATAACATCTTGATAATCTTAAAAGGAGCATACGAGGTTAATTAACATATATATATTTGACTTGTTGAAAGGAGAAACTATCAATAAGAATATAAGTATTTCAAAAGCTCTATGGGGAATACGGATTTTTCTTTCTCTTTTTACAATTTTCAAGGCCCCCATGATTGTCTTCTTGTGGTTAACGATATCTCTTGATTTTGTTGGTTTTGTTCATGTTTGGTAAATGATATCTCAAAAAGACACATGGTTTGAATGTACTTCTAGACCTTAAAGTGATCTTACATTACATATATCATGAGACATGAAACCTTATCAACAGTTTTGGAAGTATTTGAAACATCCTTTTATCGTATCTTATAGCACGAGAAAGAAACAATATCCATAAAAGTAAGGGAGAATCTATGACAACAATTAAACTTGCCATTGAACTCACCATAACCATTTATGGGACTTTGACGAGAGTTGACGTACACACTGTCTTTAAAAGTAGAAAAGAGTGGTAATTTTAGTGGGTGTCGTACATATTACTCTAAGAGTGGATGAGTGATACAAAGCCCTCCCAAGGAATTGGAAGTTGCATTCAAACACTTCTTTCTGTTGACGTCCCATTATTGTTGTAATATTGTGTCCTTGAAAACCACATATGTTAATTTGTTATTGTTGTTGTTGTTGTACCTTGGTATACGTCATCTCTGTTGATGAAGCATAATCTAAATGGACTCATAGATCACTAAGTGATCTTATAATTACAGGCACAAAACAACATAAAACATCATGAACAATTTTTAAAGGAGTATCTTAACCTAGGAAAATTAGCACACTGTTTCTAAATGTCATATAAGTCCCCCAAAGATGACACTATCCATAACAATAAATAAGTAAATTGAATGCTCTATCAGAGAAAGAGAAGCTCCAGTCATGAGCCTTTTGCTTTTTCCCTTTTTTGTTTTTTAAAATTTTGTTACTATTGCGACAATTGTGTCCTGATAAATATCCCAATTGAGGAATATTCCGAATGGAACCCTAAATCATGAAGTGCGATCTAAAATTACATGTAGCAAAATTACACACAACATTGCCACCCATTGTGAAGGAGCATTTTATTAGAGGCTAATTAGCATTGTTCCTAACTTGTCTTGGAACCCCTAAGAACATCCCTTCTGGAAGATCAGCTTATATACTTTATACTATTGCCCCATGAGGCATCTTTTGGGGATGAAAAAGTGTATCTTTTTTTAGCAAAGATGTATATGATATGATGTTGTTTTCAGTTATATTAATGAGAAAGACAAATAAAGTAATCACTTGATTACATGCATCAGTATGTAACTTAATCATGGTGAGGCATTGTATGAAAGATTATGGTAAATGACTCTTGGTTTTGTGGCCGTGGTACCTTTTTCTTAGCTTTCTTACTTTTTTTTTACTTAGCTTTCTTACTTAGCTTTTGCATACCTGGTAATATTTGTGGTGGTTGTGCTCAATATGCGGCTTCAAGACAAGATAGATACATGGCGTTGGTTAGCTCAAGTGAAGATGTTCTTAAACCATTTATAACGTTCTCTGACTATTTGCTATGTGTAATTTGAGATCACTTTATGATTTAAGAGTCTATTTAGACCATGCCTCAATAGTTATGGGAAAAGGTACTACAATGACAAAGTCGAGAGATGTCTTTTCTGTGATGCATTCATCATTTTGATAACAAGACTTGTACAAAATAGAAGATGGATAAGAAAGAAGTCTGAATGGAACTTCTTTCCAGGTAGAGCATTTGAAGCACTGACTAATTCTTATGTGGATTGTTTTGTTTTTCAGCTTCAAGAGAAGTTAGAAATGGTATGTGAGGTGGCCTTAGTTGAGCTCCTTTAAAGGCTGTTGACAATGTTCTCTGTTTTGCATTTTTGCTATATGTAATCTATGTTCACTCTATGTTCTTGATGCTCCTAGGAAATGAGTATTGCAAAAGAAAGGGCCTGCTGATAGAGCTGGGGCAAGTCGGCTGGTAATCCCAACCGAATAAGCAATCGAAATCGCTCTAACTGCCACTCTTTCTAGTTTCATTCAACTGCCACTAACCCATATGCTTAAAACATCATGTTCTTGATGCTCCTAGGAAATGACAAGTCTTATTTTTACTCTTCTTTCTCCATCCCCCTTTTAAGAGCGGCATCATCATTGTGATAGTTGTATCCTTGGAGCTCTTCGCCTGCTCCCCACATAGGGACATACAATCATTGTACTTTCCTGTTTTCTCTAGTAGTGTTAGAAATAATCAACATACCTTCAAATGTTTCTTATATATGTTGAAAGCATCCCTCTTTGGTATATGGTTTTAACAAATTCCATTGAACCTGTTTGCAGCCTGAAGTGTCAATCCTATTCCAGACTCTACATCGATTTTAAGCATCCAGAGGATGTCATTGAGTTTGCAGAGTTCTTTGACGGACATGTATTTGTTAATGAGAAGGGTAATACCAGACATCTACATTTAAGGGGTTGAATGGCATCAAACTGTTTTTCATGTTAATTTTCTTTAATATTTGTATGTTCGCTTAAAGTTTTGATGTATAAGTAATGTGTGAAGCTATATTCTTACTGTCACCAGCTGCTCATAGGCAAATTTAGGGTGTTAATGACCTGAGAAATATAGTTTCCCCATTTGTTATCCCCTTTTCAGTTGTTTCTACTCTTCTTTGTCAAAATGTTTTCTCCAATGGAGGATTAATGCTTGTATTCGTTTCTTGTTTTAGGTACCCAATTTAAAACTATTGTCGAGTATGCGCCTTCACAGCGTGTTCCAAAGCAATGGTCTAAGAAAGATGGACGTGAAGGTACCATAGAAAAAGGTATTAAGATGGTTCCTAGCAGGCTAAGATGCTTACTCTTTCCATATAATTCACTATCTCTTTTATCTTTTATAATTAACTTCTTATGAACATACAGATCCTGAATATCTTCAATTCCTCGAATTACTTGCCAAGCCTGTTGAGAATCTTCCCAGTGCAGAGATCCAATTGGAAAGAAAGGAAGCCGAGCGAGCTGGTTAGTACCAAAGCTTGTTGAATACACAGGATGCAATGAACTTAAACTTGATTGTTAGAAGTGGAAATAATTATTAGATGTAAAATAACTTGGAATTGAGTTAATATACCTGGTTTTTTTAAACTTTGGTTTTCAAGGTACTGCTAAGGAGGCCCCTATAGTGACACCTTTAATGGATTTTGTTCGCCAGAAAAGAGCTGCCAAGGGTGGACCTCGGGTAGGATATATTACTTTGCCAGTAATTTTATCAAACTTATAAGATCTTACAGCTTGCAACTGAAGGTGTAAGGTTGCTATTAGTTATGAAGTAGGAAAGCCTTTTTTTTGCAAGGGCATGCGAAAGATATGAAACAAATGAAGTTGCTATAGATGTTGTGATTCTTTTTTCCCGTATTTCCTTTCTTTCAGTTTTTTTTGCAGCTTCATAAGTTCTCTTTTTAGCATCAAGTTATTATAGTAATTGTTATTACCTCTATAAAAAATTTTATGCGAAGGAAAATCCCTGACGTGCCATTGTGAGAAATGAATATGAGGTGATGTGATCCACACCTTAAGATTACCCTAGTAGACTCCTGACTGGGTCTTATCATATTCATGCTGTATGTTACTAAAGTGGATTTCAGTATATATTTATTTAATTATTATGTATGAGTAATGGTACCTTAGACAGCCGAAGCTACTGAACGGTTGCGGTAAACTATTATAGATTTGGGTGGTGCGGCATAAGGCTAAAAGGACTGAAATGAATTATCCACGTTCAACTCAATCATATGGGCATACCTTGTAGGAAAACCTTGTGGTTTTGGCTGTGTGTCAACCCTGATCTTAAATATAAAGAAGCAGAAAGAAACTGCAACCTTTATGTGCTGTTCCGACACTGATTTACAAATTTTTATAATGAGAGGATGAAGATTGAATCTATGCACTGATTTTGTAAGACTGGGAAATGCATGTGCTGTGAAAATCACAAATCTGGGATTAAGTTTCTTAAGCTTTCTTTTGTACATAACTTTTCAATGTGACATGTACGCATCCTTACTGTGTTTGGTGACCTGCTCCAGAGGTCCTTGCCTAATGGGAAATTGACGAGAAGGGCTAGTGGTGCATCATCTTCAAGTTCAAGTTCTACTCCACTAAAACGGGGTTCTGAAAGGAGGAGGACTTCGACCACCATGGTATTTGAGCTTTTACATGCATTGTAAATAAGCTTTGAAAGATGAAGTTGTAATGAATTGCTTCATATATGGGTCTCATCAATGTTTTTGTTCCTATATGACATCAACATATCTTGTTTTCTTTTTCTGATGTGACAATTATATGCACGCCTTGTTATAGAACATGACAGGTGTTGTAGTTTTACTTTTTCTGAAAACTACAAATATGATATGACAATTATCAGTCGCTCTTTAGAGTGATCAAGTTACCTCCACTGCCACTCTTTGATGCATGGCAACATAGAAAAAGGTGAGAATAGAAAATGAAGTTGAAAGTTTAGAAGAAGAATGTATATCCTTGCTGCAGATTGACCATAAATGTATTGATCACACAAAATATTTTAAATAAAAATAACTTTACATCACATGATGGAGACCATGAATATTTATATTTGAAAGTTATAGATTCACTAGAACTAAGAAGGCTTCACTTCCCTAATCAATTGCCATAATCCAATAATAAAGGAAATATACAATTAAGAAATATATCATAGTCCTCTCCTAGTTTAATACTTATACCCTTCAGTCAACACTTCTCTAATTATACTTCATTTTCTAAAGATCTGCTTTTGTCAAATTACAAGATCCTAGTCCCTATTTTCTCCTGCTAAAACAATAACCACATAGCTATAGAAGCTAAAACATACATACCTGCAAGTAATAGTTTTGAAATTTCATTCTTATCTTCTTTGTCATCAATATCACCTTTGTATCATTTGATTTGTTTTACCATGGTTGTTCTCAAACTTGCTTCATCATACCCTTTTCCATACTTCTCCATTTATAGTTACGGTAACTTGGTAAGAACCTTATGCTAAGGATTAGTTGGAGATTTTGCCTTAAAATCAAGGCACCAGGTAAGAATTTCCATGTAAGAACTTCTCATCTAAAAATACTAGCGCTGTGGAGGTAAATTAAGAAGATATGAAAGTCAAGTTATTTGCATGCTTTGTGTACGCCCCTCCCTCTGAATGGGAAGGGGAATCCTAGCTGTTGTGGTTATCAGTTAGATTTACTGTTAGAAGCATCAATTACACCACATTTGAGAATATGCTTTGAGCATTTACATATTTCATGGATTGAGAATTATTAACACGAATTAGGATAAGTCTTATTTTATTGTTCACTGTTCATTCTCTTTGGCTGGTCAAATTTTCGTGGTCATTAATAGACAATTTTAAAGCCAGACCTGGAGTTATGTTTTATTTAGTTAACTATTTTCTGTATCATTGATTGGATGGAATTAGTCATTGACATGAAAACTGACATTTGGGACTTCAATATTCATTGGATTTTGGGTTCTGCAGATATGCATTGTTTTCTGTTATGTGCATGGTTACTGGTGAAAATTATTGAACATCTTGTTCTTTTCCTCATTGACAGTATGTCCCAAGGGATACTGGGAAAGGCAGAAGTGGTAAAGAGAAGTCAACCTATATTCAGGTCCAAAAACGTGATGATCAATCGCTTTCTGAAAAGTCTGTTGGTTCATATGCTGCATCTGGAAGTGTGGTACTCGAGGAAGGACGGGGTATTACTCATCACTGTGTTTATTTCTGTTCCATAATCAATCGTCACAATTTGGTCAGAAAATTACTGCCTCTTCTGTTTATGTATTTTTCGTTGATGCATATACCTATAGTCTAAGTCTACCTATACTAATATGTGCATAGAGGGCCAATCATTTGTTAACCCAGAAAAAGGTGCTAACTTTGTTAACTGATTTCGACCAATCAGAATCATTCCTACAGTTTGAATTGAGTTGGCGCTGCATTATTTATGGAAGGGCAGTTTTGTCTTTTACAAATTCTTTTTTAATAGGTTGCAGTTATTAAATATTTCCTTGTTTGAAAGGAGAGATAATTATGGAAGTTATTTTTTAATTATTTCTTTTATTATTAGTTTTTGTTTGATTTTGTTCAATTATTAACTGGCAATATCAATCTCTGTGGTTGAAACGGCAATTTTTCAAGTTTTACAATGGATTCATTAGTGAACATTTATTTGACATTGGTTCATTAGTGAACATCTACTAGTTGAATCTTATTGGTTCATTAGTGAACATCTATTTTGAGTAATAGAATGGATGATGGTATTATCTTCAACTGTTATCACATCTATTTGACATTGGTTCATAAATGAACATCTATTAGTTGAATCTCATTGTTCACTTATACACTTTCTGTTCATAAGTGAACATCTATTAGTGGACTCTTATTGTCTAATTAGTGGCATGTTACTGTTCACTTATGGCACAATGTTCACACATGAACACATTCTTTGACTATAGTCACGTATAATGTGCACTTATGAACACCACCATAACAGTTCATATGAATGGGGTTTTGTATATTATGTTCTGCCTTTCTCCCTGTATTTTGATTACTTTTTTTTTTGCCAATGTTCACGTAGTCTTCAATAAGTTTCATTACTGTTTCACCAATGCTAACGCCTTCTTCAACAATGTTCACTCCTTGATCAATGTTCGCTGTTCACTCCATACCATCTAGTTAATATGAAATCAATAAGCAAAATACATAAATTGATTAACAGGAAAACCAATGTTGATTACCGTATGTGTTGATTTTTTTCCTTTCATTGTCGTTTTCAATTCCTTAGCTTTTTCCATATTTCTTGCTTCAAGTTGTTTGTATTCTGCATCAACATTGATGGGGAAAAAACCCTAGTTCATAACCTTGAACGTAAATTGCATAATATAAACCCTAGAAAATTCTAATTTACCTCTTAGTTGGATGTTCCTGTCTATATTTTTACCCAAATTGTCCATGATCTTCACCCTCTTGTTGATTTACGTGGTGGCAATAAAATCGGAACACAATCACTGATGGATAATTTCCAGGGAATGTAGATTTTTTCCTAATTTGTTGCTTGATGACAATTTACCTTCTTGCCCTTGTTCACCTCCATTCACTTATCATTTCATCTGGAACACAAGCTTCAGTTTCCCTATAATTACAAAAATGCCACCGCTTCATCGTGTCCATTGATTTAGATTTTCAACGGTCTTGATTGGTTAACAAAGTTAGCACCCTTTTGTTGGTTAACAAATGAAGGGGACTCAACATGCATGTACATATACATATAATATATGCATTCATACAAATAGAATTGCCTTGTACATATAATATAAATATGTAGGACACCAGTTTAAGCAAAAAAGTGGGTCAATGTAATGTAATAGTCATGACCCAATAAACCTCACCTGTTTCTAAACCCCACTTAACAGCACATACTTTTGCCTTCTGTGAAAATTGCAATAATAATATTTGGCACATGTATTTAGGAGCTCTTTCGTTCATTTAAAATGCAATTATGTTGAAATTAAGTTTTTGCAAATACAAATTCTTAAAGTTTGGTTATCCATTTTTATTTTATTTTTTGGAACACTCTATCAATAGACCCAAGAACTCTTGAGCATGTATGTGAAAAGATGGTGTTGCAGGACAGATAGAGTATATTCTGTAGTTATGATATTTGGTAATCTATTTTATCATTATTCTCTGAATCTGTTATATAATCATTACTAGCAATCACCGTACTGCATCTTAAGATTGTATATTACTCTTTCTTTTTTCTTTGCCTTTCCCCCTCCGTTTCTATTTACAGCAGCAGCCACCCTGGTTGCACAGGTTATTTCTCCTTGGGAAATATATCAAGCAAGCAAAGCTAAGAAAGTAGTATGGGGTTCATTATATGATAACTCCAAAAATAAACCAACCAGGAGGAATGCTTTATTTCAGTTTTTATATCAATTTAGCTAGTACCCTGAAGATAAGCTGCTAAGAGATGACGACGTACACAAACAAGAGATGTGTTTTCACTTAGGTCCTGTTTGGTTTATAGGATTGGAATGGATTTGGAGATAACTTCCAATCCAATCCCCATGTTTGGTTTGAAGGATTTCATGGATTTGAAATCCCAGAATTTCCTTGAAACCCGACAAACATAGGATTTTTGAAATCCCATGGGGTGGTTTTGTATTTCATGGGATTTCGTAGGATTTGTATATAATAATGTTTTAAAATATGTTTAAAACATTTGTTTTGTAATAATCAATTAATAAGGCAATTTAACAATTTTTATAATTATTTATAATTTGTTTCTATAAATTATTTATAAATGATGGAATTCAATTTATTATCAAATCCTACAAACCAAACGCACCAAAGATTTCAAATCCTTCCACATCCAAATCCCTCCAATTCCAAATCCTTCCACAAAATCCAAATCCCTCAAAACCATTTCATCAAACCAAACGCCCCCTTATGCTTCTCACAAAACTTGATTGTGATTGATCATTCTTAAATTCGCAAAGCAATAGTCATACTAAAGCTCAAGTTTTGAGAAAATTTGTTTTCCTTGTCGGTGATCAATACTAACGAGTGAATAATGATGTCTGTCCTACGGAAAAAGGGGCTAGTTGAATTTGAGAAGCGGGATTTTGTGGTTATTCAGGATCCTTATAGTATGACTGTAAGAGTATGAGGTGAAGTGGGGTAAGGTGTAGTAAGTTATGTGCTTGTTCTGGGCTTACGCTACATCGGATATAAGGCTCTTTGTTAGGGAACTAAGAGATCCTTTTTTGTTTGATAACAATTGATGAGCTGTTGTCCTTTGTTCCATCAAGCATCTTGAGTTTGAATATGCACACATAATCGTTTTACTTTAGGTTATGTTTACATTTAATTGATGAAGTTTATAAAATTACAAGATTGCCTGTGGGAACAGATGATGACATTCACATTGACTAAAGAGAAATGAAGGTTTGCAGCAATGTGCAAGGAAATGCTTGGGGCTCATCTTATGAAAGATTTTCCACTTCCTATTTCATACACAAGTTCATAAGATTATATTTCTTAGTTCTTATAGAACACAGGCGTCTACTTCTTTGGTTACATCAAGTTCTCTCTTTTCAGATATTCAGTCAATGTGGGTGGATGAGATGATGTATTTTTTCCTTTTTTCTTTTATTTATTTGAGGAAATGTTCAATCTGACTTAAACTAATACTCCTTCCATACCTAAATAGATGCCCTTTTTGACTTTGGATTTTTTTACATAAAAGTTACAAAATTTAAAATTAATATGAATTCTTTACTTGTAACAGCAATTTCCTCTTCTATTTGCAGTACTTTTTGTATATGTTAATATAGGTATCAGTTTCTTCTAAAAAATCAAGTTAACTTCTAAGCAAAGATTTCTTGCTTTCTATTTCATACAGAAGTTCAAACTATGTTTTCTATAGATGGTCTGATGCAGTCTGCTTTTTGTTACATCAAGTTCTCTTTTCAGAAATTCAGGCAAATTCTTAGAGATGTATTTTTATTTTTATTGAGGCTAACTATTTCAATCTGACTTGAACTACTCCTGTACTAAATGGGTTTCCTCTTTTGATTTCGTACCTGATAGCTCTCAAATTTAAAGTTAATACGAATACATATTTTTTAGCACCAACTTCCCTCTTCTATTTGCGTTACTTTTTGTATATGTTAACATATCTTTCAATATATTTTCTGGAAATTACGTAACTTCTAAGCAAAGTGTATCGAGGTGAGGCACATTTTGAAGATGGTGCTTGATCATGTATGATGGCGTGCCTAAGGACAATGGCACAAACCGTGTAACCAAAGGCGTGAAAGTGTGGGGCAATGGTGTGACCTGATGGCACAACTCCGAGTGTGGGATTATTTTAATGAAAGTAAAATCATGACAATTTAGCCTTTCAGTTGTATCATACAATGAACACGTAAATCTTTATATTGAACCACCAATACAATTTCTATACTATGAGAAAATGACCAAAATTAAAGAACAAGACCTAACTGCTAGGTCTTCAATATCTTTCTCTACTCAGTGAATAAGCATTCCAACATCTTATTTCTTCTTGACACGTGTTTAGCTTATTCTCTACTTCTCTTTGGTGAAAAAACTTAAGTAGCTGATAAATTTTATTCTTTTGCAAATTTTCTTTCGACTCATTTCAGTTTCTTTCGTATGATCTTGTCAGGAAATGCCTTCCCTAGCAATGAGTGATTCTTTTCACTTGGCTAGGTTCTGCTTTTTTTTGGTTTGCTGTAACACTTGATTATTAAAACAAAATTATTATCCTAATTGTGTGATGTGTCATTTAATTTATTGCCTATTATCTGTTGTATGTAATTGGTCAATTATGAGAGACTATGCCTTGCATTTATTAGGTCAGTCATTGTTATGTGATTTTGGGTGTTGAATTACTAGCTTAAGATTTTCTAATTTAATATCACTTTAACACACATACACACACACACACACACATATATATATATATATATATATTTAGTATCATAAATTTTCAATCTGTCTTTGAAAATGGCGCTCGGCGAGCTGGTCTCCCTTTACTTTGGTGCTGGGCACCATCTTGTGCCATGCCCAGTGATTATTATGCTTTTTAGAATATTTAAATGATGTCCTTTAACATCAAAAACAAAAAAAAGGACAATTATTTTGACATGAAGGGGGTATTTAAATCTCTCTCATTTATGAGCGACTGTTACAAGCACACAAAAGGAGACATGCAAGTTGGGTACCAAGTTGTTTAAACTCTATAGAGTGGGACTGAAATTTGCACTGACTGAACAGCCCTTGTCTTATGCAATAAATAGATAAGATTGATGATTTTGGACAGAGTTCAAGAGGTGTAATGGTGGTTGACATCATCCTTGAAATAAGTTGAGGAAAGGAAAATGTTTGTCTCCAATTGTCTCTATGCAATCGTTCTGCTTACTAGTTGTACTGCATCCAAGGAACTGAAAAAATAGAGGGAAGGAAAGAAGCAAAGGTTGAAAGACCAATGGAATGACACCTTCAATCATTGAGAAGAATAGGTGAAGTTAACATGAAAAATATTATGTTTTACAATATTAAAATCTATTTAATATTGTCAAGTATGATAGGGCCAGATGATGTCAAAAGAAGCAAGGCAACATAAACCTATCTTCTTATTGATCTTTTTCAAGAGTGGTTGGAGGGATAAAAGTTTGATCTTTATCTTCTAGGAATGACGTGTCTTTCTGTTACTTCTTCCTCCACCCAAGTAAAATATGATAATTGAGAAGTACAAGTTATTGGCTTCTATTATGTGAAAGAGAGATTTTAACCTTTGTGGGAGAAAACCGCGCCCCTACTAGTTGTTGGGGGTTATTTAACCTTCGAATCAAACAAAACAACCAGTAGGGGATTCACAGAAACTGTTTGCAACTAAGTTTCTATGTTACCCTCTCACTTCTCTTATTCCATTAGCATGGTTTTCTGGTTCTACCTTTTGTAAGCTTGCTTTATAATCCAAAAAGGGGTCAATCTGTCTTCAAATTGGAGCATATTGATTTATGTGAATCCACATATGTTAAGTTTAAAAGGGAGGGGCAGGAGCAAATATCTGCAGTTGCAGTAACCTGGAGATTGACATAATATGTTTGAGTTTTGGTTTTTAGTATTCTTACTCACCAAGTTCTATGAATATTTCACTTGATAGACTGGTAAAGTCACGGACCGAGCTGTTAATGAACTGGTAGTTCATGGTTTTCCTTGTTTTATGACTCGACAGTGCATAAACTCCTAATATGAGAAGGAGAAGGTTTCAGTCCCATCAAGACTATCAAAAAACTGCAAACAATATGAAAGAAATTCTATTACATCATAAGTACAAATAACAGAATAGTGACCATTAGCTTTGGCCCTAGTGACCTAATAATTGAGGTTGTTTAATAATTGGCATTTAAGACTAATGTTTCTTTTGCTGGCAAATGACAATTCCTGTAAATTGTATTCTAATTTAAACGCTTAGTCTTTCTACTCTTTATCCTAACTTACAGTTTTCTGCCTAGTGCAGGGCTCTACGTTTCAGTTAATATGTTGCATTCTGGTTTGATGAGTATACACTTAACATCTTAACAGCCCTAGTGAATTTCTGCAGGTTCTTCTGGAACTCCTGATATTGGGAAAAAGAAAATTCTGCTCTTGAAGGGCAAAGAGAAGGAAATTCCCCATGTAAGTTTTGAATATTCACTATGTCCTCTTTCCGGATAACTATGTCTAGGTCAATCTTTTGTGTTTTAAAATTAATGGTCTAAGAACTCTATTGTGCTGATTAAAGACCAAGATGAGGGACCGTGTGAAAGAATAGGAGTTAAGGTGAGAAGTATAAGAAGGGATTTGGACCCTTGATCACTTTTAATCTCAAACCAACCCATGAATTGTGCTTTAGAAGGGAATTGACCTGGTGCTTCTCATTAGTGTTGATCTAGTGGAACTCTTCATTAGCATTGATCCAAGGGTGGAGATCTCTTTCCACCCTTCTCATCATGATTCTCAATCTCACCGGAACCCAACTGTAAAGACCAATACATGCATATATAGAGAAGAGACCAAACTAGCTGTGTGTATGAGATAGAGCTGTGATCAAAAGAGTACAAAAATTAGAATCACAATCTGTATTAAACAATTAGGAATTAGACCAACCTGATTTAGGATCATTTGGGTTGGGTTTGAAACTAAGGTGGCGTTCAGCTTGTTGCCTGCAATCACTATATGAGTCAATTTAGTAGTAGGGTGGAGTTGGAATGGGATGATCGTTCCAAAACTGCAGTTTGGTTTACGTGTTGAGTTTGGGTATTATTATCAATACTGATGTTTGATTTGTTAATCTTTAGGTACAGTAATTTATTAAGTTCCTATTTTTATCCTTAAAAGTGATAACAGTATCACAAATAACAACAGTAATAATTAAATTATTATCAATATTAGTAATATATTAATAATGATCTTAATAATAATAACAACTAGTATTATTAATAACGTTAGTACTACAATACTACTAATAGTAGTATATTATTATTATTTATAACTTTTAATGTTATTATTAATAATGATATAGTATTTCATTAATAACAATAACAATGATTATACTTGGAATTAGGAATCATATGGGAATGGGCCACTCCTTCAGTGGGTTTGGGTGATTCCCATATATTTGGGAACCATTCCTATTTTTCATTCTCATTCCTTCAAACAAAACAATCCTCGTATTCCCTCGTACCATCCCCTTATGGCGGCTAATGTCAGAGTGGCTGTACCCATCATTCTTTTCATGCTTATCAATTAGAAATTAATGGTGGGCTATCTAGACTGATAGGCTATGACAATGCTTGAGGACATGGTACCTATAGCTATGTAGTTGGCATTCTATATGCGGTGTATCAAGAAACGGTCGAACAGATAATTCAGGTTGCTTTGCAGTCGGAGATATTCACTTGATGGGTACGTGTAGTGCTATTATTCATAGCATAAAAGTATCATTGTGTAGGGAGCAAGTGCAGTAACTTAAACTTGGAAATTATTTGCATCCCTGGGTCCTTTCTTTAACATCAAATAGTGGTAGTTATGATCCAGAAGTATGGTGGTCGTAATAAAAATGGACATTGGAGTGATTGTGCATGACCAACTACACTTCAACTTATGGTTATTGGTTCATTGGTACATGAATGTTAATGAACATTATAAAAGGTTATTACGGCCCACTTGTTGGACTTTGGCTTGATGCTGAGGATTGTGTTGTTTTGGGGGGAATAGTCTTCTTGTAATGATTAATCAAGCATCGGCCCTGTGTATTGCCGCAGCTATCGTGCGCTGTAGTTGAATGAAATAAGGGATTGCTTGGTGTAGTTCAGATAAGATTTTATTTTTGAACAACTTACTGATGTAAAATTTGGCCTCAAACTGCGGTCAAACCTCTATGTTAGCCTGCAGTGATCACGATAGCTAAAAGGGTGTGGATCCATCCCAGAGTTCAGCATTAGAGGACTTGAATCACAAAATCATGCAATTGTACACAGATAATCATTTGTACCTCGTAATGTTTTAGATGGATGTGCAACTACCATCATTTCTCTGTGCATATTAATGTGAAGTATCCAGAAAATGAAACATACTTCTTATACTTCTGTTTTGTCATTCGAATTCCAGATGACCACTGGTTTGTCCCCGCAGCAGAGCTCATTATCTGTTAAACTTTCCCATGGTTCTGGTGCTCTTAAACAGAACCAGCAACGGGAGGCTAGTGGAAGGATTATTAGAAGCATACTTCTCAACAAGGATACTCAACAGAATCAATCTGAACAACAGAACCAGACTTCTAGTCGGGTTATGGACAGAAGACCACCTAGACCTCCAAATGTTCCACCACCCTTGAAGGATTCTAACGGTTTGCCAGATGATATGGTTGCTGGGCATGATTTGCATGGATTCTACAGTGAGAAGCAGGACAAGCGTACTAGGAACAGGGACAGACCTGATCGTGGTGTTTGGACTCCCCTTAGGCGTTCTGATGGATCACATGCAAGTGATGAATCCCTTTCATCTTCCACTTCTCAATCGACACAAATGCAACCAGATTCTGCAGAAGGTGTGGTCATTACATATCTAATATTAGCATGAGACTTGTAATGCAGAAGCAATTAAGTTTGTACCAAGCAGATGCACTGCTCTTGCCTTTTATTTTTGTCTGTGGCTATAATATATAATCATGTTGAAGTTACATTTGGTTCCACAGGAACTCATGGAGAGGTAAAGTCTGACCTGTCAAATGCGAGAGGTGGGGATTTTAAAACTATTGGAAGTGGACGTGGTGGTCATTTCTCAGTTGATAATGGTTAGTTTTCCTTGTGAAGAAGCTAAATATGTTGTAAATTTGATGATACACAGATGTGTGCATGAAATATAAGCTGTAAAGAAGAAATATATACGTACATTGTGTGTGTGTATATATATATGTATTATATCACCTAGATTTATTTATGCTTTTTTTTTTCTTATGATAAGAAAAATGAGAAACAGATAATAAATGAGAGAAGGCACGCTTTTTCATGCTCCCTGTGATGTGTAGATAAATATGTAGGCTCCCATAAACATGGAGGTCGCCGTGGACCATCACACAATGCCAAGGATGCAGATGGCTCTCCAAGTTTAAGTGAAGGAAAACCTGCAAAAAGAGGAGTTTCTGCTGGCTATGGTTCTCATGAGGTGTGCTTTGTTATCAGGCCAAACCGCTGTCTTCATTTGCATTTTCTTCCAGGTTATGACTAATTTAGTAATATGTGATGGCAATGCAGAAACAAGTCTGGGTTCAGAAGTCAAGTTCTGGTTCTTAATCTCGTCACTAAGGTAAGCTTTTTTCTCATGTTCTTGAAATCATTTATCCTTAATAAATTTGTATTTAACGGCAAGTTTGTCTGGTGTAAGTTATGTCCTTGGGGTTTTGCATTAGTTAGATGGATGGCAGTCTTGGAAACTGAAGATGCTAGTTTGACTTAGCCCCACTCGCCAACATTTTTAGTTATTTGCGGAAGAACATTATTAACATATTCTGGACCGTAGCCAAATCTTTTTTTGCTAATAGGTGTACCTTCTACTCCCTCCGTCCCAATATAAATGTCCACAATGAAAAAAGTACAACTTTAGGAATGTGTAATTATTACACTTTTTAGTTAACTAAATGACATTTTTTTTCCTTAACAATAAAGGGAGTAATGAATTTATCTATCTCATAGTTAAGGGTAGAATTGTAAAGTAGGTACTTACTTTTGAAAGTGTCACTATCTTGAGACAAACTAAAAAATAGAAATGTGGACTCTTAAGGGAGTAATTTCTAACTATTTATAGCAGTGTTGGATGAGGCTCTGCTTATGTATCCGATTGACAGAGCGTGCATATGCCTTATTAACCATTACTATGGCATTGTTGACTCATAGCTCTAACATGATAGCATGAATGGACCCTCTTCTAGACCACCTATACTCGATCATGGTTACTGTATGCCAAACACAGCATTTAAGAGATTCTAGCCTATCGTGAAAGAATATATTTGTTTTGCATTACCTATCCGGGCTAGTCATAATGTTGGAGAACTTTATAGTGATGGGTTTGTTTAAAAAACAGATTGTCGCATAAGGAGCAGTGTTTTTGAATCCTTTTAACAATTTGGATATGTGCCACATGAAGGGTTTCCGATTCATGGGCCTTATCGCAGAAGATCGATCTCTTCTTGTGCTCATGATTTCAGGGAATATATTCCAACTGTCTTTTAACTTCATGTTGGTGAAGCACTCTTTAAGATGTCATTACTTTCTCTGCTTTTCAGGTCCCCATGCCAACAATTTAGTGATAATGAACAAAATTTTGACTGTAGAACTTTTCCCTTGATCATGCTGAAGTGAACGTTGTCGTTCTTGCATTCCAAAAGTGGACCCACTTAGGTGCATCCAACCTTTCCTACTAGAACCGCCACAAATTTCTTCACTGAAGAATCTACTTATAGAGCAACATCAACTTTTTCCTGTAAAATGTGAAATAAAATTTATGATCAAGCAAGTGACCTGCCCATTAAAATGCAATGTTTGACTTGACACATGAAATAATCAAATACTCGAATTGAGAAAACTTGTGGACCAAAAATATTATGTTGTTCAATCTTTTCTTTTTGGTGCAAGGCAAGGGATTAATTAGCTGATTGTTGGTGATCTGCAGTTGAGTGAAGACATGATTTTTTACGAGTAATGGAGTTGGAGTATAAATCTGCTTACTTGCAGTGGAGAAAGTTGTGTTTTGCTAGATTCATGATTTGAAGCAGACGCAAGAACGATGATGAGGCGGCCTGGAGGGAGTCCAGTTTTACGTTGGAGATTCCTTCTATTTACAAACCGAAGAGGAAAAGGAAAAAGAAGTGGAAAGAAGTGATGTGTTTTCGGGTGTCTGCTTGCCGATTCTAGAAATGTTGACACGGGGTTGGCCGCTGATGGTCTTTTATATAGGTGAATTTGACGCTTTTTGAGGCCGACTGTATATACTAACCAACCTACCTACCTACCTAAATCTGAATGGTGTGTTACTTACTGATTGATAATATGCACATAGATAGAGAGATATTGGCATGTCTTAATGAGTGGGGTTTTGTAACACTATGCCACCAGCTTTTGTGGTTTGGGTTTTGTTCTCTAATATCAAGGAAATCATGGTTATGATGGTGTTGCTAAATCTTGTTCAATGCATATTACATAGACATCATCTCTTGTCAATTAGAATTGGAATAAGATTTCAAAGTTCAACGTCTTTTAAAAAACAAACGACATTTTACTGTCACGAACACTCCAGACCAATCAAGAGAATGGGGGGAAGCTTGGAGAAGGACCAAGAGTCTATAGTTGGTTCCATAACATAAATGACCGATTTATCCTCCAATATTAATTATTTGAATATCAAAACAAAAAATCATAAAGAGGTTGACAATGGGTGTCTCATTTGGGAAGGAAACGATGTTTTAAATAAGGGGTAGAGGTGTTATTTTTGTGGCTGAACGATGACAACACCATTTCTATTTGTACGATTAAGTCATGTTATGTGCAAATAAGCCGTAAGTAAACAACCCAAATGAGTTGTGGGAATAAGCCAAATAGACCAATAAGCCTAATTAAACCGTAAGTAAACAGTCTTTAACTATAAAAGAATCAATTAAGTATGCATTAAACTATGACATGTCTGAATATTTTCTTTTTGAACTTTGAGGGCCAACATGATGGCCTCTGATTGATCAATGGAGTTAGGGGCTGTTTGGCAGTTGCTGAATGATTTAGTGCAGAATAGTTAAGAGGGTCAGAATGGTTAAGTACTGAATGAAATAATGTTGTTTGGTAACTGTTCTCTGAATGACAGTAAAATTACCATTTTAACCCTCTGAATGATTTAGTACTGAATGAAATAAAGCTGTTTGGCTGATATCT